AACTGTGTCGACTCACTATGGAGCAGCACACATACGCATCCATACACCACACAAACACATACACTTAAATTCAGTGCCAATCATTGCTAATTAGCATCCACCTTTCAACATCCATTTATCTAAAGAGAAGTAAGCACTACGCAACTCCAACTCAAGTGTGCCTTAACTGGATTTATCTCTCCTAACATCAAACTCACTGAGAGTACTCGAGTAAAGAGCCAGTAAGGGCTGATTGGCCAGCTTAACAAAAGTGTATCTGAATTTAATACAACAGGCTTCCAACCCAAACCCAGCCACACGCCGTTTGTGTACGTGTCATCTGAAACTGCACACTGTGCCTCCTGCTGTGAACGAGTGCCCGGTGTGCACCAGGATGCACTTTCTCTGTGGGCCGAGTGCATGAATAATGTAAAGAGGCGGCATCATCTTCATCAGCGTTAATGGGACATGAAAAATCACACACTGATGCAGAGAGGTTTCTGTACTCTCTACAGCTCATTTTGCTGATGCTTGTCTGCAAAGATTAGTCAAGCTGTGCTTAAGTGTTATATAAATGTGGGTTGAATAACTAGTTTTAAAAATATGTGTATTATAAAATATAAAACGTGTCATTAACCTCAAACTTCAGTGCCATACATATATTTATTATCAGCTCATTTTAATCAAAGGAACTGAATCATCAACTAGAAGGCAGACATGTATGTAGAGGTTATGTAGAAGTAATCCGATTACTTACACAGAAGTACTGATTCCACACTGTAAAGCACATTTTTACCTGTAAGAGCAACTAAATGTAGCTTAAAGTGATGTTAAAGTACTAAATGTATAACAGTGTAACAATAAGTAAATGGCCTGCATTTGTAACAACTAACAAAAGTAACAACTTATTGTAATTACTTTGTATCTATTTTCTTAACCACTACTTTCATTCACAGGGGGCTGGAGACCATCTCAGCTCTCATTAGGCGTGAGGTGGCGTGCACCACGGACAGGTCGCCAGTCTATCGCAGAGGATGCCCACGGAGAGACACACAGCCCTTCGTGCTCACACTCGCACCTCATTTACAACCATATTGCATGCATGACTGTAGCACCGTGGGAGGAATGCTGCAGTCCCACACTGACAGAGCCCTCTAGCAGATCATTACATGAAGGAACCTTTTAAAAACAAGCGCGTCCATGCTCACAGGTGTACACACGGGTGCTCACACACACAAACTACACCCTTTTTGGCTCCTACCTCAAAGCACACTGTGCTGT